GTTACGCCATATATGGCTTTAAGCAGCTAGCTACAGGCTTCAACTACCATCTATTTAGCTAATTTAAGCTACAAGCTGCAGCTACTAGCTATTTACAACATTCAGACTGAGTGATGGTATACAGATAAAGTATTTCATTGAGGGAGTAAGGAAAATCATTGAGGGAGTTAGCAAAATTCCAGTTCCCCAAGGGCAGGAATATTTCCCGAGGCGCAGCCTCTGGTCGAGAGGAACTGGCATCTTGCTAACTCCCTCAATGAAATCCTACTTTTTAAATGTTTTATTATGCTGATACAAAAGTGAAAAAAAGAGGATTACAAATGACATGGAATTAGCTTCCGGACTAAAACACGGGGGATCAGTCCATTAACATATTAGACCGATACAAAGGTAAAATCTATAGGATTACAGATAACAGAGGAATTAACTTCTGAAGCAGGGATTAGCTCATTTGACTAACACTTGGGGATTAGTACATTCACAGAGATTTCTAGGGAATTATTCACATTTTACCGCCTAACTTTTATATAGGAAAAAAAAAACAGTAGAGGTAAAATAAATATTTATAGCATATAAAAAACAAATTGTAAATATACACTGTTTGATAAACAGTTATACCTAAAGTTTTTTGTTGTAGGATCTAATCTGCAGTAGTGTTGATAGAGATGGTAGTGGATTAAGGATTAAGGTGGGACACTAGTTGTCAGTTCACATAACACAGGTTCTGTCTTGAATTGATCCGTCTGTATGTTCATCATAGTCCCATGTAGATCTGTAATGGTCTGTATATTAGTCCCCTGCTCCCACTGTATATCTGTAGAAGTCTGTATGTTCACCACTTGTTCCCCCTGTAGTTCTGTACAGGTCTGTATGTTAGTCCCCTGCTCAATCTGTATATCTGTTGAGTTCTGTATGTTAGTCCCTTGCTCAATCTGTATATCTGTTGAGGTCTGTATGGGGGAGTTAGAGGACTGTGAATCTGCCAGACTGGAGAACTCTAGCTGATCATCTAAACATTCTTCTTTGATTCTAACCTCCACCAGGAAAGTACCTGTAAAGGATCACTTTAATACATGTAGTAGAAAAATAAACTATAGTGCATTATACTTGGAAGTCTTTCATTGCTTCTTTCCATTTAAGATCAGCTGTTATCTATGGTTTGTATTATACTACAGATTGCCAATTTTTGAGGCACTTGTGTCCATTTAATTTAAACAATATTTTATTAAGAATAAACATAACAAGATTGTACAATAAGCACTGCCTATGTAAGTCCTCTCCATAGGCACTTGTTTTGCAAGATAGGTATTTTATGTACCTGAATATGAAGACAAGGAACAGTAATCATGCAGGTTTTTTATGCGCCCGGATAGATAGATTGGGTCTTATATTGTTTTTGTCCTATCTGTTTGTTGTCAACTTTAACCTTCGCCATAACTTCTGAACCATGAGAGATAGAGACTACATATTTGGTATGCATAGTCCACTAGTTAAGCTCTTTCAAGTCAAATGTTATGCAGATCAATGACATTGTGACCTTGACTGTGACATATGCTAAAAAATAGCTTTCTCAATCTTTCACCATAACTTTTGAATCGTAGGAGATATTTGGTATCATATGCATACCCCACTAATCCAGTTCTTTATGAAACCAAGGTCAATGACCTTGTGACCTTGACTGTGACCTACATGCTAAAAATAGCTTTTTTGAACTTTATTGCTGTCAGTCGCATGTTTCACAAACACATCTTGTTTAATACATAATATAAGGCCTAAAATAAAATATTGTTTGTTTGCAGTTGCCGACCAACCCACTGAAAATGTACCCGACCCAAACTTTTTTTTAACCATTTTGTAATATTATTTTTATTCTCCAATTTTTCAGGATATTAAAACTGTTTCATTTTTTCAATTTTTGTCTTCATCAATCATTAGTTTATACCAAGAGTGCAGCTTATTCATGTGAAGTAGGCCTATGAAAAACTTTATTTTATGTTATCTATCAAAAATCTGGAAACAATTTTTTTTTTTTTCAAAAAAAAAAAATTGCCTACATACCTACCCAGACTAAAAATTATAGGTCGGCAACTGCAAACAAAGAATTTTTTAAGCTTGGCCTAATTAAAATACATTAATTTTGAACAAGATGAATCTGTGAAGCGCTATGCCCCTCCTGGAGTGGAATGTAGACTGAAGTAGTATACACTTGTAAGATGTTTTAAAAGTAGCAAAGGTGTAAATACTGAAGATCTTTTGTTTTTAAAATAGCAATGTATTATCGTTAATTACAATTACACTTTTGAAACATGGTGCAGTAGTTATGGCCAATGTTAAAGTTTTTCAAATGTAGGTCAAAGGTCACAGTTTGAATAACATGATCAAAAATTTTTGTTCCAATGGAAAGGTCTTAAAATATGTTTCATAATGATTGATTGATTGTATACTGTTTGACGTCCCTCTCCAGAATATTTCACTGATATGGAGACGTCACCATTGCCGGTGAAGGGCTGCAAATTTAGGCCTATGCTCAGTACTTACGGCCTTTGAGCAGGGAGGGATCTTTATCATGCCACACCTGCTGTGACACGGTGCCTCGGTTTATACGGTCTCATCCGAAGGACCGCCCCATTTAGTCGCCTTTTACCACAAGAAACACTCATATGAACAAGAATTGTTTGTAAAACACTTATGCCACCGTACCCAAATTGGAATTTTTCTAAGTCCAAGGGGCATAACTCTGTCAAAAATGACCTGTTTGTACCAAAAGCAAAACTTGACCTAGATATTCATCTGATAAATCTGTATACTAAATTTCATTTTAGTATGTGCAACCTCTGTAAAGAAAATGAACGGAAACTGCAAATTGGAATTTTTCTAAGTCCAAGGGGCATAACTCTGTCAAAAATGGCGCGATCGTACCCAAAACAGAACTTGACCTAGATATTTATTTACCAAATTTTATTTCAGTATGTGGAATGGTTGTGAAAAAATGATCGAAAACTAACTAAAGTCAACTGACCGACCGACCAACAGACAGACAGCAGCAAAGCAATATGCCCTCCCTTCTCTGAAGGGGGGCATTAATACTATTAAAGCCTTACCCTTGACAGCCCAATAGTTATAGGCAAGGTTAAAGTTTACAACAGACAAACAGGAAGACAAACAGAGAGACAGGACAAAAACAATATACCGTATATACTCGCCTATAAGTCGGTCCGCCTATAAGTCGGTTGTATTTAATTAGCTTATATTTCAGAAGGACTGACCTCATATAATACCATTGTTTTGATAGCTCGCCTATAAGTCGGATACAGAGTTTTGGTCCAGATATTTACTCCCAAAAAACCGACTTATAGGCGAGTATATACGGTATCCCCAGGGTATTTTGATTTGTGGGCAAAATTAAAACTTTTGTCAATGAGCGTACTATATCATGCAATTCAACCAAAAAAAAGGTATTGTGAGTAAATAATTATTCACATTTCATCACATTCAAATACGGGTTACTGAAATTCAGAAGATACTTGTTTGAGAATAAGAATTTTTTTGTGTTGAATTTATTGTGAGTGTGAAAAGAGCGACAGCCTTTCATGTTATTGATTTAGACCCAAAGACTTGCATGTAAAAATTTTGCAAGGGGCAATAAGAACAGTAGTGCTGTGTCTTTAAAGGCAATCACAATCTTAGAAGCAGTGAACAAGTACCTTGTTCCTCCAAGTTGGAATTGAAGACTTCCTGATCTAAATTATTGGAGTCAGGCTCTACTCCTTCATCCACTGCCTTTGTTATGAGATTGCGAGAAAATGACTGCAATAAAATATATATGAAAATATGAGCTACTTAGAACAACATTCTGAGATTCATCCCTAGAAATTGGCAAAAAAGTGCTTAAATGTATTTGCTTCATATATACATAGAAATAAATGTAGTCCTGAATACAGATGTAAGTTACAGACTGAATCCATTGTCACAGACTCAGTGAGGGGAATAAAAAGTAGTTTTGTAACTAACTCTTTTACGAAACAACGAACTCAATATTAACTTTCTGCTGAACAATAAAACCATTTTACACATCTTCAACATTTTTCACAAGAGAGATTTTCATACCTTAGAAGCAGTTGGGGATAAACCAGATCTTCCAGGTCTAGAAAACAACTTTTCCAAATCCCTATTTTCCTTCAGCTGCATGAGTTTTTTGGTCGGGGGAGCGTATTCCATAGGACCTGTGATGTCTGACGTGTCCCTGAATTGTAGCTTCATTGTCTCTATAGGGATCAATCCTTTCTCACAATCGTCTACTATTATCCTCCTCTTTACCCTCTTCTCACTCATCATCCAGATTCCTCCACTTGAGTTCCGTGATTTGAAGTTGATGCTGGGTTGGCCGAGTCATTTATTTCCCTTAGTCCTTAAAACAGAAAACAGATATTACAAACTTAATACCTACAAAATGAGAGGTACATGTACAAGATATTGGTACAATAATTCATGGTTATAGGCCCACTGTTTGAAACTCACTGTAAAATTAGTAAGACATGCAGGGCTGATTGCTTGTGAAAGTTTTCAGCCCTGCCAAAAATGTACTAGCCTGAGAAAAAATAATTGTCTATAAGTTCCTTTTAGCAATAATGTGAATGGGGCCAGTTCACAATATATTTGATCCCAGGCCTATGGGCTGGTGAAGTCTACCCATTTGCTTATTATACTTTGCAACATGTAACACCAGAATGATAAAAGTTCCGTAAATGGTGGAAATAAAAATATTTTAAAAATTTTTGGATAGTTTTGTTCATTCATTTTTGCTTCTTTTTACATGTATGCTCTTCTGACAGACTACCTGCCCCTAACCACACAATGGTTACAAATACTAGAAGTCTGTAAAGCAAAAGGGAGGCCTACGTAGAACCTTAAATTGTTTACTTCATCGTCTCCCAGTTGGGGATAGTTAAATAAATTTTGAGATGTTGGTCAAAATACAAATTTTATAAAGAAAAAAATCAAATAATTGAACTCTTTCAATTTATAATTATATATTTTTTTTTATATTTTAAGTGATTGTCAAGAAACTGTTCTTAAAATATACTTGGGACCTTAAGTAAATATTCTTATCATATTGTAACAGACGGAGTATATACAGACTGGGGTTTAAAAAAATTCAGTTAAGTGTAAGAACTAACTAAAGATAATTTAATTTTTCTGGCTGCCACATTAAAAACAATGCTGCATGTCTGTATATATTTGTACATACTTTTTTCTTAATATTTGAAATAATAAGTATTTCATTTCTTCAGGCTATTGTTTATCTCAAATGGACTTCACTTCTCTCAATGTGAGGTTTTATTCATTACATCTGATGCATAAACGATCATTTTCTGAAGAATGTAATCAGGGCTCTCGATTCTCTAAATCTGGGGCCGATATTCGGCCCCGTTCCCAATGCAAAAAGGTATCTTTTTCCCATAAGAAAGGTGTAAATTTCCGAATTCCCATAGCAAACTATTATTTAAAAAATAAAAGTCCATGAAACTTAATCGCAGAAAAAAAGCTCATTAGACAAGCAAAACACACTTGCAAATGAAAGTGAAACTGAATTACTGTTTCATTAGTTTGATCCAAACGCATTGGTTAACTAGTTTGGGGAACCAGGTTATTATTTTTCCAAAAATTTGTACTAACTATGAATGCAGAGTATCTCGTCATGTAGTTTCGACAAAAAATATCATTTTGGTTTCAAAAATAGACATTTCATTTAAACATTAGTACCCTGCTCCTAGAAACATACCCACGCTTCGGCATGTTCAGTCTCGCGCTGTATTGGTATTACCAATGGTAAGCAAAGTTGTCCATGTGATCGAGGATATTTGGGTCTATATATGTGACTAGCGACTGTCACTCAGAAATTAAGACAGATAACCAAAATATATACACTCAATGATGGTTATGACAAAGCTAATGTACTATCATAAATAGCCTACGAACCCTTGTTTGTTCTGTTTATCTATTTATTCAAAACCAGAGTTAAATTGAAATCAGACCAAAACTGTAGGAGGAGTAGCATTTTGAAAGAATTTCAAAGAAATTTCTATTTTTAGTAACATCGGGACCACTGTTCGTCGAAATCAAAATCCGATGTACAGAATTATGTATCTTAGAGTAGTCTACTTGTGTACCAAGTAAAATTGAAATCAGACCAAAAATGTAGGAGTAGTACCATTTTGAAAGAATTTTACAGAAATTTCTATTTTTAGTAACAACGGCAAAACCGTTCATTAAAATCAAAAACCATTATACAGAATTATGTGTCTTAGTGTAGTCTACTTGTGTACCAAGTTAAATTGAAATCAGACCAAAACTGTAGAAGGAGTAGCATTTTGAACAATTGTTTACAGACAGACAGACAGACGGACAGATGGACGGACGCCGGACGCATTACTATCGCATAAGCTCTTCTGGTCTCTGACCAGTAGAGCTAAAAAATGAAGATATATTGAAAGACTTTTAAAGAATTGATTTTTTAAAATATATTTTGACCAACATCACAAAATTTATATAACTGGCCCAAACTGGCAGATGATGAAATAAGCAATTAAATGTTTTACTTTCCTATTTGTAAGCATTATGTGTCCAGTGGTAAGGAGCCTATTATAATAGCATAAAAAAATGTACAAATGTTAATAATTGATTTATCACAAAAAAAAAATTTGATTTCCTTCTCCTTTGGGACTTTTTTATTCTCATGTTCATAACTAAACCTAAACAAAAAACCAGAAGTCTCTGTCGAGACTGAAGCTCTACTGGTTTGTACTTATAGCAAAGGAAGAGAAATGTACTTTAATAACCAGTTGGGAATTGAAACTTAATATCAGTAATAAATTAGAATAGAATAATGATCCTTGATTGAGCCTCTTTATGTTCAAGTTATCTTGAAATCAGACCAAAACTGTAGGAGGAGTAGCATTTCGCAAGAATTTCACAGAAATTTCTATTTCTAGTAACCACGGCAACACCGTTCTTCGAAATCAAAAACCGATACAGAGAATTATGTATCTTAGTGTAGTCAACTTGTGTGCTAAGTTATATTGAAATTGGACCAAAACTGTAGGTGGAGTAGCATTATGAAAGAATTTCACAGAAATTTCTATTTCTAGTAACCATGGCAACACCGTTCATCGAAATCATAAACCGATACACAGAATTATGTATCTTAGTGTAGTCTACTTGTGTGCCAAGTTATATTGAAATCAGACCAAAACTGTAGGAGGAGTAGCATTTTGAAAGAATTTCACAGAAATTTCTATTTCTAGTAACCATGGCAACATTGTTCATCGAAATCAAAAATCGATATACAGAATTATGTATCTTAGTGTAGACTACTTGTATGCCAAGTTATACTGAAATCAGACCAAAACTGTAGGAAAAGTAGCATTTTGAAAGAATTTCACAGAAATTTCTATTTCTAGTAACCACGGCAACACCGTTCTTCGAAATCAAAAACCGATACAGAGAATTATGTATCTTAGTGTAGTCTACTTGTGTGCCAAGTTATAATATTTACATTTGCAAATGTTTTCCATTATATAACACTACTGAAGGCAAGCGTTTTTATAACTGTGTAAATACAGGTACGGGGTCAAGAGGTTATAGATGTGCGTTTGGATAAACGTTCGACGTAATTTCTCTGTGACTTCATAAAGGGTTGACGCGCGTTTAGTGGATTACAAACATGCCGTTGGGTTTGAAAAATTAACGCATTTCACACGTGAAAAGTAACAATCAGGCAAATATAAAGTATGAATAAGTCACAAATGTAAATATAAGTAATAAGGTATCATTTTTTGAGTTTTATTGAGATGTAAAACGGGTTGGCACATGATCAAATCTTCCATAAAGCCCTTCGGGCTTTATGGGATTTGATCACGTGACCAACCCGTTTTACATCTCAATAAAACTAACAAAATGATACCTTATTTCTTAATTGAAATCAGACCAAAACTATAGGAGGAGTAGCATTTTGAAAGAATTTCACAGAAATTTCTATTTCTAGTAACCATGGCAACATTGTTCATCGAAATCGATACACAGAATTATGTATCTTAGTGTAGACTACTTGTATGCCAAGTTATACTGAAATCAGACCAAAACTGTAGGAAAAGTAGCATTTTGAAAGAATTTCAAAGAAATTTCTATTTTTAGTAACCACTGCAACACCGTTCATCGAAATCAAAAACCGATACATAGAATTATGTATCTTAGTGTAGTCTACTTGTGTGCCAAGTTATATTGAAATCAGACCAAAAGTTAAACTGTAGGAGGAGTAGCATTTTGAAAAATTGTTTACAGACAGACAGACAGACGGACAGACGGACGGACGCCGGACGCATTACTATCGCATAAGCTCTTCTGGTCTCTGACCAGTAGAGCTAAAAAATGCTGGCCTTATAATGAAGAAAGGGGCCTCTTTCAAAATAGATACTTTCAGGGACGCTGGGTCAGGGGTACCAGGGGGGTACTTTGACTAACCAGAAGTCTCTGTCGAGACTGAAGCTCTACTGGTTTGTACTTATAGCAAGTGAAGAGAAAAGTTCTTAAGCAGTTGGGAATGGAAACTTTACCACAGCAATAAAAAGAATAGGCCTGATGATCCTTGATTAAGTCTCTTTATGTTCTTAGTGTACTCTACTTGCATGCCACATTAAATTATGATAATAATCAAGTTAACTGTATTTGGAGACGCATTTTGAGAGTATTAATCGAAATAAGACTAAACTGTAGGAGGAGTAGCATTTTGAAAGAATTTCAAAATTTCTATTTTTCGTTACCACGGCAACACCGCTCATTGAAATCAAAAACCGATACACAGAATTATGTATCTTAGTGTAGTCTACTTGTGTGCAAAGTTATATTGAAATCAGACAAAACTGTAGGAGGAGTTGTATTTTGAAAGAATTTCAAAGAAATTTCTATTTTTAGTAACAACGACAACACCGGTCATCGAAATAAAAAAACGATACACAGAATTATGTATCTTAGTGTAGTCTACTTGTGTTCCAAGTAATATTGAAATCAGACCAAAACTGTAGGAGGAGTAGCATTTTGAAAGAATTTCAAAGAAATTTCTATTTTTAGTAACATCGGGACCACTGTTCGTCGAAATCAAAATCCGATGTACAGAATTATGTATCTTAGAGTAGTCTACTTGTGTACCAAGTAAAATTGAAATCAGACCAAAAATGTAGGAGTAGTACCATTTTGAAAGAATTTTACAGAAATTTCTATTTTTAGTAACCACGGCAACACCGTCCATCAAAATCAAAAACCGATATACAGAATTATGTGTCTTAGTGTAGTCTACTTGTGTACCAAGTTAAATTGAAATCAGACCAAAAC